GAGAGAGAGAGAGAGAGAGAGAGAGAGAGAGAGAGAGAGAGAGAGAGAGAGAGAGAGAGACGGCGCTTAGTTGCAAGGAGCAGATTCATGTACCTCTATGACAAGGCCAAGCTCTTCAGCAAATAGAGCAGCGAGAACATCATTCTTGCTGGGATTCGATGTAGTTGATGGGAGATTTACAGCAATTCCGCAATTCCCTGCGAACGCCATCTCAAGCAGTGCAACTGCGATCCCTCCATCGCTTATATCATGTCCTGCTGATATACTCCCCTCATCAATGAGGCTCTGGATGTTCACAATGCAAGCTAATAATCAGTATGTGGAAATTTATATTCTCAGGAGTCAGGAGGTGCCTATCGGGATAGGCAGCCAACTACACAAACTTGGTCATGCTGATTTCTCATTGTGACATCACAAGCCAATGACTCTTTTTACCCTATGGTGTTGCTGTTGCTACTTCCAACCAAAGACTGCTGAATATCAGTAGTATGAAAATGTCGACAGAAAGTGTTAGACGATACAGTTTGCAACTCTAAAGAGGAAAAGAGAAACTACATACACTTTTGGGAATCACAGAAATCAAGGACATTTGTAAAAATTAGTTTAAAATTTTAATTAGAAAATTACCCATAATAACTGTTGCCCTGTGCAGCTTTGGTTGTGGCAGTGAGGGAGAAAGTGCATGCATGAAGGAGGATTGAGAGGAGGTGGTTGGGCGTAACCATTGTGAATCACTGGGCGAAAGAGAGAGGGAGGCTGTCTACGTAGCTGTGTGACAGAGGCATGTGTGAAAGGTCAGACAGAGACAACTGCACACATTTTCTGTCACTCTTCTAAACTTCACAGGCGCGTTCATATTGCTGTCACGCACACAATTGAAGATTGTGTCCATTTGATCGTGTTTTCACAACACCTGTACGAGGTGTATTTGGTTATTCCGAGCCAGGCTGCTTGGGCTGCCCAGCCTTTCCAGGCAAGTCGCCCAGGATCTGCTGCCCGGGGTGCGCGGATGTGGGAATAAGTGGGGTCAAGTATTATCATTGTTCATTTCTTGGGTGGTGAGGGTTTTCTGCGCATCCCCATAGGAGCCCAAATCTGGGCCCTTTTCTTTTTTTAGTGTTGGCTGGCAAAGGGGGGGGGAGGGGGGGGAGGGGGGTATAAATTGGTTTTGAAGGGGCTAAAGGGGGTTGAAGTTTGAACTTTAAAGCGGGGTGCCTTACTCTGATGCTGTTATTTTCTTTTTAAACCTTCTATTCAGTGAGGAATTCTGATGTGACCCTCAGGCAAAAGTCGTTTGCATTGCAATTTTGTTTTCCAGATCGTAGCAGAGGCTGGATGCTAGGCCTCGGGAGGTGCCTGTCATTGTACTCAACAAGTGGGGAGATCAGATGGTTTGTGACAGCCGCAAGCACAGTCTCCTCCAGGTGGCATCATTCGTGAACTCTTCTTCTGTTATTATAATCAGATCACAAGTCGAGCCCTGCAGCGGTACGACCCAGACCTGTCTCTAGACCTAGACCTACACCAACCCGCACCTTCCGAGGATCTCAGATGAGTGTCCCCCCCCTCGGGCGCTACCATAGGGACACCCCGAATTCTTGAGGACGACCCGGACACAGGAGGGGTCACGGATATGTGGTCATTCCCCCACCTGTATCACATCTAGCAGACGCTATGGGTGTACGCAACATTTTGTTTTCCCGGAATTTTTATTTTTATTTTGTTGTTTTTGCGCGCCGGTGCTGCCTGGATCCCTGCCCGAAGGTGGGGTGCCTGGGCGCCTGGAAAAACATCCTAGACTCCTAGTCCAATGGAAAAAATTTAAAAACTGTTCTCTTTGAGTGCAATTTCGTTGTTGCTTATTTTTTCCCCTCCTTTATTATTGGGTAGTTCCCATTATTTGGAACTTTGAGTTTGCCTTACACAGAACGTCAACAAATTTACTACAAATTCTGTTACAGCTGAAGATTTACGATTGTACTTTGTAGTTTGCCTTAAATAGAACATCATTATCACATCAACAAATTTACCACAGAATAGCAGCTATTGAACAAAGTTGCAGTCGCTTCAACCACAAGAGAACGGATGGTAGCACCTGCACAGTCTCGAACGCGTTTCGCAGAAGTCCTGTATCCTCCAGATCTGGAGAGTCGTTCCCAACCTGAAAAGCATTGGCAGCATTGGCAGCAACCAGAAAATGCACAGTAAGAACCCAAACTGGATTCCAGGAAGTGGCAAGTTAAAATTTCCATTCTCATTGCGATGTACCACACAACTCCTTCCATCTCAAACGACATATGTGAACTATGTGGTCTGCTGAGATCACAAACCTAAACCTGTAGCGCTATGGCTTAAGAGAGAGACTCAGACACCTGGGTGTGCAAAACAGGGTTGACATCAACAACTTTTACAGCTAAAAAAGACGACGTGATCACAACAAGGTAGGTACTCCTGTGACAATCTAGGATAAGTGCAGTGCAGATCGTTGCGCACTTTCTTTTTTTCGCAAAAGTTTCTGCGGTTCATGTATTCTAGTTTCTATTAACTTTCTAGTTCAGTTTTGTTTGGGGATGGCTGTGATTTTGCATCCGTGTCTTTGAGAATTTTGCACCCGACGGCAAATGGCAGCTTGGCGCGTCAGGAATTTCAAGCATTCCCAGGGGTTGCATCCCACCTGACCGGCTACCCTGACTGCCGACCATTTTGCAGCCTACCGGTAGGGCCGACCGGTCGGCGGTCTGCCGACCAGTGGGCTTGTTGGACCACTATCATGGCACTATGAGAAAATCTGAGAGAATCAAGAAATTAAAAAGTGAGAAAACGAAACACAGAAACGGATGACCGAACATGGCATGGAGAACATACCTGGCTGTAAACTTGAGCTAATGCTGAACCACCCAGCCTCCGCTTCCCTTGAGCAAGGTCAACGAACAGAATTGTGCCTGCATCACCCAGCTGCATTCACCGTTGCAGAACAATACATAGCCACTCTAGCTTTGTCATGCTGTGACAAATTATTCCCACTCAGCCTGATTCTCTCTCTCTCTCTCTCTCTCTCCAATGGGCACACACAAAAGCAGACATCATGCACTCCATGTCCATTTTTTTCATCAAACTTAGTACCCCAACACTACCATCCACTTTTATACATATTCAAGAAAGTAGCGGTTTCGTTTCTGAGTTTACCTCGATGCACACTGAACCCTTCAGTGGAAGTTTCCTGGCAGAAGAAAGGGAGAGAAGTATGGAAAGCAGGAGAGGGAGGAAGACAGAAAGCACAACAATACCCTGGCGAGAGAACCGAAAAGGAGCCCACAGCAGGGCCACAGCCACCCACAGCTCAACCAGTTGCTGCCCACGTGGTGTCAAAGACAGGAAGCACCGACACGCTTTCCTCACAAACAAGACGACACCGCCACAAACTTTTGAGAAAAGATGCAAGAATTTTCGAGAAAGCTGGAGCAGAACCCTGGTACAAGAAAGAGAAAAGACACAGAAAAACAACAAGCACCCTGACATGTAGTGGGTGAGTTAGTTCTGGTCATAGTTACCGTCTTCCCCCGAACACAACACGCCCTTATTTTGGCTGCATCTGGCCGGAAATATAGCTTCTATACATTCATTTTTAGGGTGTGTTATGTTCGGGGGAAGACAGTAGTGCATGCTTGCATCCTCCTTTGCTTACACGCTGTACTGAACAAACTTCAACAAAGTGAAAAGAGTGCTTGCCGGATCGAGGACTGCCACCTCGCCCTGATGGGTGAACGGTACACGTGTAACTATTCAATACAACAGATCCGGAACTCACATCCTGCAGGATACAATGAGGTTAGGAGATAGAAGAGCGGTTAGGGAGATAGCTTTTCTTTTCAAAGGAGAAGAGCGATAAATGAATCGCTACCCAGCAAGCTGCCTTGAATAATTGTCAAAATCATGAAGGCAAGGAATGTGTTTGAATGTCAGCCCCACCTTGAGATCTGGGGTAACTGTCTTCGTGATGTCTGGACAAGTGACGTATGCACTAATGACAAGATTTCCGGGCGCTTTCACAGTCTCTCCACCAGCCTGCACTCAGCACAGACAGGGCATACATATTAGACAGACGGGATCATCAAAACCTATTCAAGAATAGAGCTGCATCCTATCAGCCATAGGAGACTCTGCACTTTAGGAGGTTCAATTTTGATGTACTCCTTCCAGGGGGTTTCGATACGTTCATTGGGGTTAATCTGCAGTATTTCTTACCATCTTTCCTGTATGACCGGACTCGGGTCCGTTGCTTTGGGGCCCAAGTTGTACCCGAATTTGACGGAGTCATCTGCGATTTGACATCATGAATTTGACGGAGTCATCTGAGATTTGACATCATGAATTTGATGGAGTCATCTGAGATTTGACATCATGTATTCGACTCTTCTTATATCCAGCACCACTCCTTCGGGTCAGGTTGTATTTGAGCCCTTCAATAGCCTTAAACCACCAGTGCATGCCATTTGTTGGCTGCGGGCCGCTTTCGGAGGCCGCCCACCGTCGATTCATTTTATTTACGGCGCGCTCGGCCTCCTAGATTTTTGGAGAGGCTCAAAACAGGTTCTCCATTTGCCTGGGGCCATGTACTGGTGGTTTAAGAGGTTTGTGGATCTTCCATAACTCCGATTGGATAACCCTCACCTTTCTCATAATGAAGACCTCTTTAACTACTGTCTGGTACTCAGAGGGCTACTGGATGCCCTCCTTTTGGGATGACCTGTTTTGATTGTCCATCCTTGCCACTATCCAGAAAGTTCCGTCCATGGTTGACACTGCTTAACCAGGGCCAGTTTGCAGATACTGTCGGGTGCCAATTCATGTCCAAGCTATGGAACTGCGGTGTAGGATCTTGACTAGCCACTTACTTTGCAATGCTAAGGCTTCCTGTTTAGGGTCTAGTCGACCCAGGGTCCCAGACCACCTTTCTTTGGCCGTCTTCTGAGATGAAATTAGCATGATAGTCTCCATTCTCTATCTTTCTAATAAAGCGGGAGGCTCTGAAGGGTGTCCGATCACAGATAGGGAGTCCCCAGTTCCCAACTTTCAGAGTGAAGTCTTGCTTTGGGAGTTGGACCCATGGCAAAGGGATGATTTCTATGATCGAGTTTAGGCTAGTAGCTAACGAGTGACATGAATATTCTTGGGATCCGTGGGAATTTCCATGGTTTCTTCCTATCGTTCCACAAGCGTTCAACTTTCCAGACTCCCTTCTCCACCCACAAGAGCCCTTCGCTGCCTTTTGCGTACAGCAACCCGAGGGTTGCCTTCCTCGTTTGTCAGCCATTGATTGCAGAATAATGGCTGCCAAAGGACCCTCTTCTTTCATAGGGAGTAGGGTCCTCCATGTCGTGAGTACGGCAATCCACTAGGGCTTGGGATTGGGTCTGGTACTTGAAGTCAGAGGGCTACTGCATGCCCTCCTTTGGGGATGGCCTGTTTTGATTGTCCATCCCTTGCCATCATTATCCAGAAAGTCCCGTTCATGTTTGGCACTGCTTAGCTAAGGGTCAGTTTGCAGATACTGTCGGTGCCAATCCATGTCCAAGGTATGGAAGTGAGGTGTAGGATCTTGACTAGCCACTTCATTTGTAATGCTAAGGCTTCCTGTTCAGAGTCTATTCGACCCAGACCACCTTTCTTCAGTCGTCTTCTGATAAAATGCCATGCCACGTTGTTTACGCGGGAGTTTTTAGTGGGATCACTTGTCCCAGGGAAGCACCTGACTTTGTTGTTGAGCTCTCTCAAGGCCTCGTTTGGAGGGGATCACATACAGGCAATCTACCATACGGTAGATAGAACTGATGTGTTCGCCGTTCATTGCTAATTTTCTTCTCCTCTAGCTTTTTTGCTCTCATGCATTTCATTTTTCATTATGTTGTCTTCTCTTTTTCTCTTGCCTTGCTTCCGTTACTTCCATCTCTTTCCTTTCCTCCATTTTTGTTTCCAAATGTTTCACTCTACTTCTTGTTGGAGGCGCAAGAGGGGGGCGAGAGGAGGCGGGCAAAGGGGGGAGAGAAGCAACTTTATTGAAATTTTATTTCCTTCTTTTCCGTCCCATACTTGCTTTGTTGATCAAACTTTGCTGATGTTCTTATTTGTGTTCTCTGTCTCCTTCCTGCTTGATCACACCTTTCTTGTCGTCGTCCTCCTCTTTCCCACTGCCGACTGTTCCAGTCTCTCCTTTCCACCTTTCAGACACCGGTCCCTCTTCTCTCCAACCAAGGGGATTGACCCTATTATTCGGTTCCTATGTTCTTGCTTTTCGTACCTACCTATTCCTTCCCCGTTGTCCACTGTTCCAGTCTATTTTCTGTTTTCTTTTTGAAGTTTTTCTCTTTCTTCCCTAGTCTTTGCACCGTTTCTCGATTTCTTTGTGTCAACCTTAAAATGGGCCATGCTAATCTTCTTTGTATCATCCCAATTTTACCAAGGACTACATTCCCTGTGTTATAAGTTTTAACTTTTCCAGTGCTTTCCCTTATCTACCTATCCCTATCCCCTCCTATCCCCTCCTGTTCCTTCCTATCCCCTCCTATCTATCTAATCTCTCTCTCTCTCTCTCTCGATATATATATATATATATATATCTTATCTACTTATCAACTTTTATCTACTTATCTACTTATCTATCTTATCTATCTTATCTATCTATCTATCCATCTATCTATCCATCTATCTATACCTATCTATAACATATAAACNTACTTATCTACTTATCTATCTTATCTATCTTATCTATCTATCTATCCATCTATCTATCCATCTATCTATACCTATCTATAACATATAAACTATTTAAAAAGACAAAACCGGGTTTTTGAAGATGCTTCCTGCATGCACAGGTGAGACAAGGCCCCACACCGTGAAGTGCTCAGGAAGTTGCTATGCAACTATAACATCAAGCACTAGCTCAGGAATCGCTATTCGACTACCACTGGCTTGAGAAGTTGCAATGCGACTGCATCAGCAAGCACTGGCTAGGGAAGTTCTATGCAACTAAAACATCAAGCACTAGCTCGGGGAGTTACGACGCAACTATGACATCAAGCACTAGCCCGGGAAGTTGCTATGCAACTATAACATGAAGCACTATAGTGACTATACTTAGTTTCCTGCAATGAGCATTAGAGATATAATGTTTTTTAAAGCCTTTTTTTATTTTATTGTTATTATTATTATTACGAGTCAACCCACCGCGGCAAAGCCGTGGCCCAGCGCCAGCCCCACCCCAGGCACGACCATTATTTGGCCCGGGCGACATTGAGGGTGTTTGTTTTAGAACATGAGGGATGAACAGCATTCGGGGGGGCATCCGCCAAGGCATCAGCACTCCGCCAGATTCGAAGTCACTGCCGCGGACATACATTGAAAAGAAATCCCCATGTGAGTATGGACTAAGGAGCTGTCAGATGCAAATGTCGCACACACACACACACACACACACACACACACACACACACACACACACACACACACACACACACACACACTC